GGAAAGATTTGGTACACTATTTATTTGGTGTGAAACTTTTTTTCTATTTCTGGCATCTCATTCTCTCCCCTTTGCTTTTTCCTCCTTTCTCTGCCTGTTTCCCCTTCCTCTTTCTCTCCCTCTTGTTCCATTTGTTCAGTGACTACTTGTAGTCTTTTCAGCTACATCATTTGTTTGCCAGAAACTGTTAATGACAACCTGTACCTGCTAGCTGTCACTGTATCTCCCTCCCTTCACCTCCTCAGAAACTGTTCTTTCTAAAATATAATTTCTTCTGCACTGTTGAAATTCATGGAAAGATTTCTAATTTAATTTTTCCTAAGCATTTTGTAGCTTTCAACTATCACTTGTATGTGGGTTATCACTGATTTCATTAAGGAGTAGTAGTTGAATTGCTTGTGACATTGGGCTAGGCACTATGTAAAAAGAAGTGAAGAAATTGGTCTTTTGATTTTAGGAACTCATAATGTAAGATTAATAGTACTGCCTTAGAGACATGTTCATTTATAGGTCAAATGGCTGATATAAAAAAATACCAAGATTCCAAAGAACTGTATGAAAGGGACTTTTCAAATTATTCATTTTGTTGTTTTTCCAACAGCAGGGCCAACTACCTTTCGTTACCTTTATTTTTTTGTTTAGCGCTTTTTTTTTTTTTTTTTTTTGCGGTACGCGGGCCTCTCACTGTTGTGGCCTCTCTCGTTGCGGAGCACAGGCTCCGGACGCGCAGGCTCAGCAGCCATGGCTCACGGGCCCAGCCGCTCCGCAGCACGTGGGATCTTCCCAGACCGGGGCACGAACCCACGTCCCCTGCATCGGCAGGCAGACTCCCAACCACTGCGCCACCAGGGAAGCCCTTGTTTAGCCTTTTTATGTTGAAAAGACAATACAGTTAAATCCTGTCACCCAGCTTCAGTAATCAACTAACATTTGCCATGTTTTTTTATCTGTACCTCTCATGTCTTCAGTCAAATTCCAGACAACATATCATTTTACCCCTAAATATTTCAGTATGCATCTCAAAGAAAGAAACATTTTTTTTAAGCTTTTTTTTTTTTTTAATTTTATTTTTGGCTGCATTGGGTCTTTGTTGCTGTGCGTGGGCTTTCTCTAGTTGCAGCGAGTGGGGGCTACTCTTCGTCGTGGTGTGCGTGCTTCTCATTGCGGTGGCTTCTCGTTGCGGAGCATGGGCTCTAGGTGCACGGGCTTCAGTAGTTGCGGCTTGCAGGCTCTAGAGCGCAGGCTTAGTAGGTATGGCACGCGGGCTTAATTGCTCCGCAGCATGTGGGATCTTCCCGGACCAGGGCTTGAACCCATGTCCCCTGCATTGGCAGGCAGATTCTTAACCACTGTGCCACCAGGGAAGTCCAAAAGGAACATTTTATTAATAATCGCAGTGATATTTTCCCACCTCACAAAATTAACAATAATTCCTTGATATAATCTAAAGCCCAATCTGTTCAGATATTTTACCCACTTGCTCATAATGATTTTTCAGAGTCAGTATGTTTGAATCAGGATCCAGACAGGGTCCACTCATTGTCTTTTGGTTGCAATTTCTCTTAAGTCTCTATAGCATTCTCTGATTGAGTTTCCTTCTCAATTTTCATTTCCTGCATTTGGCTCTTTAATACTGGATCAGTTCTGTAAAATCAGCCACATTGTAGGTTTGTCTGATTACTTCCTCCTTGTGTCACTTAACTTGTTCTTCTGTCTCTTATATTTCCTGTAGACTGGAAGTTCAACCTAAAAGCTTAATTAGATTGAGGTTCAGTTTTTGTTTTTTGGTCAGAATGCTTCATAGGTGATACTGTGTACTGCATACTGTATCATATTAGGAGGCACATAATATACATTTCTTTTCTTTTTTATTTTTAGTGATGTAGAAATTGATCAGTAGGTTCTAGTGGGTCCTTAGTTTTCCCATCTATGAAATGAGTTAGTACCTTAGAGAATTATCCCATGTTATCTTGGTTAGGAACTGCAAATTTATAAAACTTTGTATCACTTCATTTTCCTTTAATTCTGTAATGGAGGACACTGAAGGGATTGACCAGAATTTTTATTTCATTATAAGAAGTGCTCTCTCGTTAAGTTAAATACTAAATTTCTCTAATAATCTGTGCTTTGAAATCATATTTGGTCTTTAACTGGAGAAAATTTTGAGGAAATGACATATGATTGTGGTATGCTACTAGTTAATTTTAGTTATCAGAGTAATCTGTTAATGCCATTACTGTTCATCTGTATTTTTATAAAATGCCAGTACTCTGCACATTTCATTTCCTAGAAGGCTTTCAGTTTCAAAGAAGTATTAAAGTTGAACTTTTTCTTTCTATAAAAATGTGTGTTTCTATTAAAGTTGAAACTTTTTTTTCCTATGAAATAGATAAATGGTGAAAAGAGTGAAAAAAATGAGACTACAGAGAAAGGTAAGTGTGCACAGAAAGAGGGAGTTCTTTTAGGCTATTATTGAGATCTCAATCAGAATAAGCTTCAGATTTTACACAGTGAGATTCTTAGCATTGTGTTTAGTTTATATATGAGCTTTATCATTTTTCCTAACCTGTACAATAATATTGAAAATGTATTATATTCTGTATTTACATGTCATGGGGAATATTTATGGTAATATGCATTTGAAAACATGAAAACCACAGTTGGTACTTGTCATTGCTTTTTTTCAAGATATAGTTTAGCATAGTGGTTAAGAGCATGGACTCTCAGAAGTCAGACTTCCTAGGTTTGAATACAGGCTCCTCTGAGTTTGCATGTCATCTTGAGCTTATTACTTCACCTTTCTACTTTAGTTTCCCCATCTGTAAGGTGGGAATAATAATCGCATCTATTTCATAATGTTATTGTGAGGATTGACTGAGTTAATATATGTGACACTCTTAGAACACAGTAAACTTCATATAAGTAGCTGTTAGTACTTGTGACTTTAAGTGGAAAACTTAAATATTTAAAGGCTTTTTCACTCCCCTCAAAAAAAAATCTAAACCAGTAATTTGCATGTTATCCGTAGGTGGTGTTGATGCTCCAGTAACAAGTATGTGACCTAAACAACAAGACTTATTAGGCAATTGCCTAAGTTTTCCTCTCTCAGAAAAGGTTTAATTTAAACATTAATTGTATGTAACACTAAAATTATCTATTTAAAATGTTTCCATACAATTTAAAAAATAAAACTGAGTGTAGTAAGGTACCTTCCTAAAAGCTGTTATCAATTCATTCTTAGTTTTTTTTTAATATATATACATTTATTTATTTTATTTATTTATTTTTGGCTGCTTTGGTTCTTCGTTGCTGTGCGCGGCTTTCTCTAGTTGCCGTGAGCAGGGGCTGCTCTTCGTTGCAGTGTGCGGGCTTCCCATTGTGGTGGCTTCTATTGTTGTGGAGCAGGGGCTTTAGGCACACGGGCTTCAGTAGATGTGGCACGTGGGCTCAGTAGTTGTGGCTCACGGGCTCTAGAGTGCAGGTTCGGTAGTTATGGCGCACAGGCTTAGTTGCTTCGCGGTATGTGGGATCTTCCCGGGCCAGGGTTCGAACCCATGTACCCTGCATTGACAGGCAGATTCTTAACCACTGTGCCACCAGGGAAGCCCTAAGATTAGTTTTTATCCACATGTTCCTTTGTATCTCACCCTGCTTAGGTGTTGCACGTCTTGGTGGTTTGTTCTCCACTTTAGATTGTTTTGTTATCAGAATGATCTTTGATGGTTAGAAAGGGAAGTAAGATGGTTATTAGCAACTGTGTATTTTAGCTTAGGAGATGGTGTGACTGTGTTCTTCGTACAGTTTACTGCTGAAATAGTTCTTTCCATATTTAAGCTTCCTTTTAGTGCTTTTTAATCTTGCACTTCAGGTGGTAGAACCTGGAAGAGGAAAATAGCAACATAGGGAATATTTATTTTGGCTAAATATTAAAGGGCTAGATATTAAACATTTTAGGCTTGGGGGGCCCTGTTGTCCTTTCATGGAAGCAGCCATAGACAGTATGTAAACAAATGAGTGTAGCTGTGTTCCAGTGAAAACAACTGGCCATAGTTTACCAATCCCAGATGTGGAACACAGATAACAAACTTTTGGCTTACTATTCTAGGAAACCTGTAAGTTTTTCAGATAGCCCCCATAAGACCCCATGGAGACTTTTTTTTTTTTTTTTTTT